TATTTTGTTGTGGTGTCGTGGGTTTGCATGTACAAATCGCGCGGAAGGTTTTTTTTTTGAATAAGGGAGAAAAGTGAGCACACAGTCCATCTAATGGTAACTGGGTACCACTGCTCACCATAGACATCTTCATCTATCTCGACTCAAAATCAAAACGTAGAGGCGTTGTCACCCCTGAGGACTAAGACGAAATGCCTCGTTACTCGAAAAAAAGATCTCCGGTTGTTGGTCATATGGTAAGCGTAGAGCACTTATCATATGAATAACAGGACTGTGAGAAGGTAATCCTACAACGGTCGAGCGGACAGATTCAAGCTACACCCATAATATTGCTACATGTGTTTTCGAGTGTAGTTCCTGCAAATCATTATACCGAGCCCGATGTTTAACTACATGCAATTAATGTAATTAAAAATGCTACCAATATACAGCAGAAAATCCTAGTTAAACGCCTAAAAAAATACAGATTTTATCGCATTTAATTTGAACTTAATATAAAGTTGGGCAACTTTACGAGGGTTTTAATGTGACCATGCGCACAGGGGTAGTCAAACGTTGGGAAATAAAAGTTAATTTAATACGCGATAAAATCCGTAATATTAACCGCATTTTATGTTTAGTACGCAAATGTGGAGTTCGTTCCCTCTGTCGCCTCTAACAACCCCTACGGGACAATATTGGGTATTGGATATGCTTACACCGTCCTCAGTACACTGTTGGTAAACGAACCAGGATATGAGCAGTAGCGTCTTCCAAATAATAACTAGAAAAAAACTCCAGTTGCCAACCTGCCTGCTAAGGGTGGCAACAATAGCCGATATCCAAATATATAAAAAAAAACAAGGATATATATATATATTGTTATTTATCGGGGATTTGTAGAATAAACCTACGTATAACATTATTGAAGTAAGGATTCCATTACGCCAAATGGTTCTCGTAATTTCGGCTCGTTTTGCTCTTTCTATATTTTGTGCGTCAATTGCGCTGTTTCGTCAGAACACTTATCGTAATATTGTTTCGTCAAGCAATATTCGCTTTCTTACATTATATAAATTGTGTCACCATATAACGATTATGCTAATGTTTGATAAAACTAATCAAAATACTGTTTATACTTATTATATGGAATGCTAAAATAAAAGTTCTCTAATTTTGCGTATTTACTTAGTTTACCAAATATCAGTAAAATAATACTACGATATAAGTGAAGTAACAAAAATCTTTAATGTCATGAATAGAGTATCTGAAAAAATCTTCTAGCAAAAACAAAAAAAAAACTAAATAGCATTCATTATAATATGATATAAACCTATAAAATAAACTACACAATGATATCAATAGTGTTTCGTGAAATCACAAAATTATAACAATATAATCTTTCTAAAGTTTTTTTTTTCAAAAAGTTTTTACAATTATCACACGGGTTATCTTCTTAAATAAAATAGTAGGTACATTTCTAGGAAACTAACTAATATTGGTATTTTTCTTATAAAATTGACACGAAATTTTTCTTAGAAATTGTAGGTAAAAAAAAAATAGAAATTCGTGTAGATAATTATTTTGTTATATGGCAACAGTAACAAATCACAACATGTAAAAAAGTTAAAAAAAGCTACATAATTCTCTCTAACTTAGGTACAGACACCAGCACAACAACCTACACCAATCTGTCAAATTTTCTCAATCGAATATGAACCTTCTGCTTTTGTGACAAAGTTGAAAATCTCTGTACATAGACAGTCTGTACATATATAGTCTGTACATATACAGTGGTCATTGCAATACAAAACCTTTCTTACATCTTATAAATATATATTCAACAATTAAAATAAACCAAATCAATATCGGTACTCAGGTAATATTCTTTAGAGGCTTTCTCCCGTTGAATCAAATTTACCTTTTTGACGATAGAAATATTGGTCACTATATCAATATCTAATTTTCTTTGGACTACAAACTTCACCGTATCTGAAAAATCCTTGACGGTTTTCAAAAATTTTACCTTATAATAATTTTCTCCGTTCTTAAATTCTATATTCTCAACAAATCCTATAAAATATTTCCACGTTTTTCTTTGGAAATAGCGAACTATTATACTATCATTTTTATATAAAATAACGCTCTGCGTATTTTCCTCACACTCTATTGTTTTTTTTCTCCTTCATTTTTTTTCGATTCCTTGTCACTTTCATCTTCTTTTAAATTCTCAGATTTGTTTATTTTATCTAAATCTGTTTTCTCTATTTGTTCATATATATCTGCGTCTTGTAAAACTTTACCAGTATTATTTTGGCCTCTCATACTTTCTAGTTGTTTATTATATTAAGTCTCAATTGTATAATTTTCTTTATTTTCATCAGCTTCTTTTCTCCCTTCTTCTCCGGTAACATTTAGAATTTCCTTGCTTTCATCTTTCTTAGTACATTCAATCTCAATTTTGTGTTTTTCTTCTTTGGTATCGTTTTTGTTTTCCCTGTTCTGGTCTATTTTTCTTTTATCAGTATTAATATTGTTACTGTCATTACTTCTTATTTCCTTTATCGGGTCTTCTTTTCCAAATAAATAGCTCTCTCTTAAATCATAACTCGCAGTATTTTCCGGTTTTTTTCTAATTTGTGACAAAATTGTAACATCATCTTTCCCAGTAACATGTCGCGTAGTTTCGCAAATTTATTTATGGATTAAATCTTCATTTTCACAAAATATTTTTCTTTTCCTTTCGTGTTTAGGATTATTTTCAGCATTAGGTTTCTTTAAAATTATTGTGGATAGCAGAGTAACTTTTTTGTTTGGATCAATTTTTGGCCTCAGAACACCTGTTTTTTCGTCAAGTTCTGTGATTAGTTTGGTTTCATCATCGTTAAAATCTGGACTTATTGACTCATCCGAAAAAAACACCGAGGCATCGCTTTCCGCATACTCAATACGTCTTCTTCGGTTGATGAACTGATACACCTTCGTCTAGTTTTATTGTTATTCTTTGAATTTTTTTCTTCCTTTTTCTTTTCACATTTTTTTTGTTGTTCATTTGCGTAAATAGTGGACAAAAAGCTATGAGATACAGGTGAGTGACATTTACAGTTGCCTCTAGGATCCCCACAGAAACAGCTGAGATCTCTGTATTTGAGTTTCAGCTTTTCTATTGTTATCAGCTGATGAATTTTCATTGTTTGCGGCAAAGGACTGAGCTTTGTGTGTAAAGGCTTGAGAGAAGGAATATAAAATAATTTGATACCTGTGTCCTCCGATTTCAAAACATCAAATGCTGTTTCTGCATTTGGGATGTCTTTCCCCTGAGCGATTTTGGCATCTAGAGTTCGTTTGATGGCGCCTCCGATACCATCAGGGGCACCTTTTCCATGGGCGGCCTCAAAAAATGACCAAGTAGAATAAGTAAACCCATATTCAAAGACTTTTTCACTGAATAAGTAAAAGTTTTTTTTCTGTCTATACTGGGTCGTTGGGCCATCAGAGAAAAAGTGAATGTTAAAGATGTTTGGATTGTTACTCTTTATGTGTTGTAAAACGGGATCGAGGTGGGCCCATATTGCCTCTGGATTGTGTTGGTTATCGGCGGATATAGAACAGAAAGAAATAGGTTTCTTCTCTCCTTTAATGTAAATAACTGCCGTATGAAGGGTAACCTGTTCTTTTATGAAATGCATTGCCTGTATTTCTTTATGGTATTTGCAGGTGAAATTTTCAGAGAAATCTATATGGATACATGCTTCATAACTTTCTAAATTATTAATGCAATCTTTGTATTTTTTATATTGGTGATAAAAATTAAAAATATGTATTTCAAATTGTTTCATTTCCGCACTAAATATCTCAAGTAAGTCTTGTAAAGTTTACTTTTCTTTTCATATTCATGGTTTTTTAAAACCCAAGTAAACCAGCTTGCTTTAGCCGACAGTGCTTCGTTATCAACTTTTAATTTAATTTCTGAACACGCATTACAATTATTATACATGCAATCTTTTGAGTAAAAATCGCATACTAAATCAGTTGTAACCTCATTCAGATTGTCAGTTTTAAGTATTTTAAGGGATTTTAGTTCATCAACCAGGAATTGCATATTAGAATGTTTTTTGCACGCGCAACTCTCGCAATCCTTGATTTTTGGAGAAAGTACGTAAAACGGGCGGTACTTTTTGAAAGTACTGAAACTTATTTGGGCCTCTTCTGCGATAAACTTTCTATGAAGTACGATTAGTTTGTCTAGCAAATATCTCTTTTGGCGTGTAACTTTTTTGAAGGTTCTGTATTCTTTTTTGCCTGCAGTGGTGCGGCTAACATCATCTCTGTTAAAAAAACATTCAATTTTCTTTTGCAATGCAGTGGTTCTGGTCTTCTGCTGAAGGTAGTTTTTGAAATTACTCTTGAATCCCAGAGAGGTTCTTAATCTTGTTTTCAGTTTATATTTTTTCACAATGTTGTTATCTAGAACCTTTTTCAAAAAATTCTTTTCGGTATTATTAGCAGTTTGGAATTGTAATTTTAGTGACTTCGTTGGTACATCGTGTTCTAGTAGTTTCTTCTTAACTTCTTCTTTTTTTGGAGTTTCAATGTTTGGTATGTTATTATTTAAGAACTCTGTTACTTCTTTCCTCGGTGTTTTCTCTTCTAATTCTCGTGTATATGTGTCCTTTGTTTCCACTGCCGTGATTAATCTAGTTAATAAATTTTCGTAATCTGCCTGCATCTTGTCTATTTTGTTTTGTTGTCTATTCGTTTTTTTCTGAAGAATTTTTAAAACCTTTAGTCAATGTGTTTAACTGTAATCTCAGTTGTGCAGTTTCTTGTTTTAGCCTGTATTCGATTCGGCGTTGCATATTACGACAAGTTAATTGGTTATTATCTTGCTTGGAATTTGAAGTAAGTGCCGTACCCGGTTCATTTTGAGATACCATTTTTGCATCTTTTGCTTTTTTCCGATCTTCCTTCCATTTATGCCGTAATTCTTGTTTGTGCTCTTCAGTATAGGTACTCTTTTTTTACTCATAGTAACTTGCAGATCTTTCTTTGGCCTTATTTTGTATTTCTTCATACTTTTCAGGGTTTTCTCTTTTCAACTTATCGCGATATTTTTTCTGCTTTTCAGCTGCAGTCATCGGCGGCATCTGTGACAATATTTATATTGTTTTATTGTTAATCAGAAAAGTATAGGGATAGTATGGTTTAAGGGATCTAATTCATTCATACAGTCATGTTTAATACATTGGCTAAGGGTCACACTACCCGCCTCGCAACACATTTTTTCGTGGGGATGTATATCTCTTTTTAACTCTAAGCGACATCGTTTGCTGGAAAGAGAAGACCGTTTGCGCGAATATCAAAATAAACATTAAAAAAAAAAAAACAGAAAAAAAATACGTGGTAAACAGTTAGATTTGGTTTAATTTTTTGAAACAATTGGCACCGATATCCTTAACTGTTTTTCACAAAAGATTAAACTTTATTCTTTTTGAAGTTGTTTTTTTACTTTTTTAGTTTATTTTATTTTTCCACTAAGTGGCACGTAATATGGTTTAAAAACCTTTCTTTTTCAGTTTCCACGAATGTCCTAACTCCTTAAAGACACAAGTTAATTAAGTCAACTAAACGACTGTTGTGTATGTGTTTTTTGGATTTTGTAAAAAAATCTATACCAATAAATAAAAGTATAAGCAGGTAATTTGTAACTGCTTGGAAACCAATTAAAAAATGTCCTCTGTACATCAAATAACAAATTACTGAGCGGATTTTTCATTACTCTACACGATCAAAACTTTAAAAAAAGTAGATATTTTTTTACAAAAAAGTATATTTAATAAATTACAATATACACAAACCCTTACAACAGTAAAACGTTACGAAACATACAATCAACGTTACCAGTAACATCAAAGCTACATAGAAGTAACGTTGAAGTGCGATTTTTCAAGGTTATAAATAGACATAACTCGACATCAAGGTGAATTTTAAACATAGACACATTACCACGCACTTATTAGTTACTCCTGCATAATACTATATAAGATGTGAACAATAAAAACTGATATTTACCTTTGAAATCGCCAAAATTCACAATTAAAATTCACTGTCGAAACACACGCGTCCACCTTTGACAGACTTCAGACACGAAAAGATTGGACAAGATGGCGTCTTTTTTTTTAAATGTGCTGCCCGAATACTTAGTGTTGTCAGTACAATTATAAAATACTACCAAACTGTTTTGAATGCTTTTTAAGGGAAAATTTTGGTAACATACAAAGTAGTCACGTAGAAGCAAAAATATGGAACATAAGTTTAAATAGTAATGAATCTTTAAAAAAACGCGTTATTAAAACACGAAAAGCACAATGTAGTAGCTTAACATTAAGGCATTTCTGATAGTCACAAATTATTTAAAAATTCATTACAAAAATATAAGTTTTATAGTTTAAATGCTAAAAAGACAGCATGTTTTTCGTTAAATTTGGGAGTCTGGACGTATTTAACTCGTTGTATTTTTTTTAATGTACAACTTATAATTAATACTAAGGATAAGATGTAAGAGTTTAAGAGATATATACCTTCATTACAATTTACCCACTATTTTGTTTTCTGTAAGCAATCAAAATATGAGAATATTTTTTCATCAAAAAGTGGCAAAAACGACGGCCTTACCCAACTAATTTTACGGATTCGTTTAATTTTAACTTTTTAATTCCTCAAGTTTCGTGTACCTTACAGTCGGAACTATGGGTTTCTTGTTCATCTCGTTTCGGTTCATCGTTATCGAACTGTTACAATTAAAATTCTTGTCCATTGCTGGAAATATTTTTATTAATTGCCATCCTTGGTTTTTAGTTTATTAGTCACTTTATGCCGTATAGTGGAGTGCCTCAAACTTGTAAGCGGAGTACGTCACAACAGAGTCCACTAACTCGTAATTCCGTTCAGACTGGGCGCCTTGAACAAAATTTTGGTCTGGTTTCGTAAGAAGCCATAGAGGGAAACGTAACAGGAGATATCCATCATTATATTCCTGATGAGAAATTAATTTAATAAAAAGTTACGGTTGCCAACCTAACAAGCAGCTATAATTTATGGCAGAGGCCTATGTTTAGCAGGGGTTTTATAATTGGTAGTTATGAAGTTGAATAATGTTTTTTTTTTAACAAACTAAGGGTAAGGTTTTTAAAAAATTAAGGGTAACAAACGAGCACCTGATGTTAAGTGGATGCTGTAACCCATAGACATTTACGAATATGCCCAATTAAGAATAAAAATTCAAATGTGTTATCATCCCAGAGAATTAAGATGAAACGGCTCGTTTCCAATAAAAACGGTTGTTTTTGATTCTCTACACTCATCATAGGAAATACATCAGCATTGAACTGCTATTTTACGCTGGTATTTTGTGAGAGCATGGTCCTTCCCCGATCGAGCCAACCCATTCGTGCTACAATCATAATATAGCTGCAGCATGGCTCTACCACGTAAAAATCACTCACGTATGATGATGATGAAGAACACTCACATATACAGAGAGGTATTTTACTTATACAGAGAGCAGTCACTTTTAGTTTAAAAGTTCAATCATGTAAATAAATTTAGAAACCAAGTCATAATATGAAGTTCACTACGAGATTTTTCTGACAAAATTACGGATTCTGGAAATATCATGTCCGTTGAAATTGCTTCGAAGCTACATTGAAATTTTTACACGTTCCTGTATTTTCCATTTTCAGAACTGAACGTGATCAAACTGTTCAAATGGCGAATGACATAGAAAATTCAATTTCCTTCGAGATAGAACATTTTAAATAGGTAAATATATTAATACCAGTTACGTTCACGGAATACGCAATAACATGAAAAGGAATTTAATTAAATTAAAAAAACAAAACGATACACTAGCACTTTCTCCTGTATCTTGGAGATTTTTACATGCACAAATTGCACATGAAGAACATCCAAACGTAGAAAAATTATTTTTAGACCATTCAAACACTTTTCCCTGCGAAATTTGAATCTGCGGCCCGCAGCGGTTATTTTTAAATAAAAATGAAGTCCCAAAGAACTTGATAGCTCATTGACCCCGAGGTGGACAATGATTTATCTGTTGTCTCGAATCATTGTTGCAGCTTTGAGGTGGCTCGTAGAGTTGTATGAATATTAGGATTTGCTGAACTCTTGTTGACGCTGAGAGCAACCTCCCATGAGCTTTAGTCGGTAAGAATCCGACATAACCTGTGCCTAACCCCTAGTCGACAAAAATCCATCAGGATTTTACCTAAAAAAGGAATCCTTCCTTGTCTATGATTTTTTTGTTTCGGTACCACCCTCTAATATATTTCTACAGCTAAGTGGCAGTGGTGCACTCTTGTGTTCCGGTCTCAAGGGTACAGTGAGCCTTTATTGCAGGCATAGAGGCATAACATTTCAGTTCTGGAAATTGGCAGTGTATTGGAAACCTTCTTTGTTCAAAGTTGGTTGCAGGTATTCATGGGATGCAATAGGAAAGAATCACAGTGACCTGCAATTCCCTTTGTCTCTTCAATTTAAACATGTTTTAATAAAAAACTACTCACTAACTTAAACCGCTGGATTATTATGATTAATAAAATGCATGATAATGATAATTTCACACAAAATTTTGTTTTCACCGACAAACGAGTACACAGTCCACATCTAGTTACGACTAAGAATCTAAATGCAGATAAGTTGACACCACTGAGGACTAAGATGGGATGCTAAATAGTAGCATGATGGTGACCCACCCCGGCGTTGCCCGGGTAGAAAAATTATCTATCTTGAATGGTTCATGACATACTGCAAATGCGTGTCTATTCAATGATAACTATTGCGCAACTGACTTTCTTTTTATAATATTAGTATAATATGTAGATTATAAACACTCATAATAGCTATTAAATTCATTTTTGCTTAAATCACTGGTTCAGAAAAAATCTCCTATACTAAAAAAATCCAGCAAGGAAACGCTGAGTGACATTTGTCAGAGTAAAAGAATTATTGGTTTTTAAAAATAAATTTTATTACTGGTCCATGTGTTTAAGCTAGAACTGGCGTCTGAAACAGACTTTACGCAGTGCGAGCGTGTCGATTGTAATTGCCGTCATATCGAAGGCATATGCTGATCAACCTGCGGTGTGAGTGCTCCATACTGGATGTGTCGTTCACACAGCGCTCGGTTAGCAAAGCACTCCTGTCCCTGGACATAGACATGTAACGTGGGCCTGACGGAATCCCTCCCAATTGTGCTGAGGACGTGAGAGTTAGCACTGGTTCTAACGCGTCTGTTCTGAGGAATTGATCGGATTAATCCAGACGCCAAATTTCACGAACACACATCGCGGCAAAATTTCCGATACCATATACATCACTTGGATGCTTGGCAGTGCACCACTGTGAGATTTAGAAGATGATTTCTTCCTCGCACAAATTCCTTGTGGAATCGACTGCCACCAAAGATTTTTCGGACCGATACGACTCAGGGACCTACAAGAAAAGAGCGTACTCCTTTTTAAAAGACCGGCGACGCATCTAGAATTCCCCTGGTGTTGCAGTTGTTCATTGGCAGCGGTAATTACTTACCATCAGGTGAGCCGCATGCTCGTTTGCCCCTTCTCCTATAAAAAGTAGTGGAATTTTTAATTCAGTTTTCACTCAATATATAACAACTAATGACAAAACAACAATATCGTGACCTATAATTTTCACTATGATCATCACAGCTCATGATCGTGTTGTTTAGATTCCTTGTCGGTTTATATGTAAATATAGCATCACGTTTGTAATTCCCGAAGAGGTAGGCAGAGTCCAAAAAGCTGCGAACTCCTCGGGCAAAGTTTAACAATATGAAAAATAACAAATATGAGTGTAGATGTAAAATTGTGTCGACGACTCCGTGGTTTAGTAATGGGTTGCAGTGCTGAGCCGCGAGTTCGAATCCTGTAGAGAACACGTATTTGTATGGCCTAAATAATTATTCCGGGCTGGATGTTTGTTCTTGTGAAATTTATATAAGTAAACTGCCTCCACGATACAGTAGAGAATCCTAGTGTTAGGATCGTAATTCGTTTTGAAAAAAAATCCGAAACTGAAACCGACAAAGAAATGATAGGTGGCTAGT